AAAGCATTTCTGATCACTTTAGAACAAATAAGCTATGTGATCAATAGTTTTTATGAACGTTTAGCTCATTGCCAAACAGTAGAAGGAAGACATTTTGAACATCTGATTAAGTGAAAAAGTAAAAAACAATAGATTGAAAAATATCCACACACACACTCGCCCGCGCGCGTGCGAAGTGTAAATCCAATCGTGCAACCTCCGCGCGGTACACTTTAGATAATGCTAATGCCGGTGGTACTGTAACTTTCAAGCGTCATAACTCGGAAAGAACTTAATAAAAAATGACTTCATTATAGTATTTTGGAAAGCTTTCGAGATAAGCTATAAGAATTTCTAATAAAAATAGGGGGTTCTATTTAAAAAACAATGTTGACCTTCATATAACCTTAGCAGCGCCACCTATGGTCAAACTGATGTGACTACTAAATAGATCCTTTTAAGCCCTACCACTTTTGTATTAAACATTTTTTCGTATCTTTCATATTTTTCGAAACATTTTAGCGTCCCCCGACTTTTTGAGGACCTTGTATACACATATGTGTACCAAAATTCACTAACGTCGATAACAGATGATAACGTTTCCTACTTTTTGCTTACGATCGCCTCTACGTTATCGACGCTTTGCAAGTTCGTTGACGACTTCAGCATCCCTTCAAAGGTCTAAAAAAAAATTGAAAAATATCATTTCTTACGTAAAATTTTACGCTCTTCCAAAATCCATCATCAGAATTTGTATAAAATAAAATCTAAAAAAGCTATGACGGCTTTTAAGTCAAAAAATGCGAAAAAATCGGAAACAATTTTTTTTCAATGTTTTTTTCACATCGATATAGTATGAAACTCCAACTTTTTCCGCAACCACTGGTGCACAAAATAATTGTACTTTAAGGGTATATTTTTAAATTTGTCAAAATTGTTATTTTCATTTAAAAATGGCGGCAAAATTGTAAAAATTAAAATTGTCATATTTTTCCACAATTATTTGTAAATTTCGGATAAGCAACAGCTTATTATCACTAAAAATAATGAGATTGATATTCGAAATTAATTTTCGATCGAATACACAATTTTCAATACGGCGGATTCAATATGGCGGCCAAAAAGATGTGAAAATCGTCAATTTTTCTATATTTTTCCTAAATTCCTCTATGAATTCTTTCTCATAACCGTTTTATGCACAAACTATTAATATAATATATATTATCTGATATATATTAACTATTATTATGAATTAATTTATTGGTATATATCAATAGACATAAATTTGTAAAGTTATAAGGCAGTAAACTGAGCGTTAGACGAGTGTCCAATTTTAAAGTTTACAGTGTTATATTTCGCAAACCGATGATTTTATTGAAAAATGTTTCAAACAAAAGTTGAGTTCAGAAAGGAACATCTGACGGTGACCTTGGCTTGACCTTGGATTGTCGTTTGAAAGTCACATAAAGGTCAACTTTAAAATCCTAAATGGAACCCCCCATTTTTATTGCATATTGTTGTAGCCCTTGTCGAGACGTTTTCAAAACACTACCTATTTTTGTTTTTTGCGTAAGCCATTTCTAAGATATGAAGCTTCAAAGTTAACATACCGCAGGCATTCGCATTATCTAATGTACACTACGGAGAGATTGCTCGGTCGGATTCGTACATCATAGTTTATTATCCTTCAGGAATCATCTCGATGTCACTTTCCCTCATCGATGGATAGGTCGGGATGGTCCAGTTGGTGGCCACCAAGATCACTCGACCTTACTCCTCCGGATTTTTATCTGTGGGGATTTTTGAAAGACGCAGTGTTCCGTCAACCGCCAACGACTTGGCAGGATATGATGGATCGCATCAGAAATATATGCCGGGCGATTTCAGCAAACGTTCTTCTGAAACTTGTCGAAAGACGAGTTTCAGAAGAACGTTTGCTGAAACTTTCGAAAAACGAGTTCGAGTGTGCCGAGCTGTCGATGGCAGCATTTTCGAACATTTATGATAAATGAGCTCCCCCCCCCCCCACAACAACACACAAAATCGGCCCTTTTTAGGGCCACTGTGATGTATTATTTCCTATTATTTTATATTTTACATGAAGCTACATAAAATTTTGAGTTATTGATTAAAGATTATTTGTGAATGATTGCGCACGATTTTTCCAATATATATTAACATATTTAACCAATTTATTTTAATTATTAATCAGAATTTTCTATGTTTTTATTCAGAATATATGTTTTGTAATATATTTCACTAGTTTAATTAATAACTCAAAATGTTACATGATTATTCGCAAAATAATAAATAAATTTTTTTTACTTAGTTTAACCTAATTTGTATGTAGATGAGAGCTTTATATGTGTCATAAGATACCCTATATATAGTATATACATACGCATGCTCACACAGACACTATATTAGTTATTATATTAGTGGAATATCTTTCGTTATTTTATTCGTTTGTGTATATATGTGTATGCGCGTCCAATGAATAAAAATTACAAGAAGTTAAGATTATTTATATTGATAAAGATGATTAGATAAACACCACTAACTTACTGACATCTTTAGTACATAATATTCAAATTTAGAATTTTTTAAGTGTATTTGTGAATATTACAATTTAATATGGCCACGTGCACGCGGTGAGGAAACAAGGAAATATTAATATTATAATTTTTTATTAAAATTCTAGATATATTTTTAAAAAATTTAAATATTTAAATGAAACATAAGATTAACACATATTAAAATACACATAAAAGTGTCAATTTAAATGGTAAATATCTCGGTTCTTAAGTGACCAATTTTTTTAGGTCTATACAAATATGGAGATAATACATACAGGGTGTATCTAAAAATATGTTACAAATTTTAAGGGCGTATTCTAGAGGTCAAAATAAGAAAAGAAGTTCCTATAAAGAGTCCAAACATGCTTTCCCTCCGAGTTATAGCCTCCTAAAGTTAGGGGGAAAAAGATCGTCGAAATTTTGCACAGCGTAATAATTAATAATTAATAGTGATAATTAATAGTGACCTCGATAGTGACCTTCATTTTTATATGGTTTTGACAATTTGGTCCAATTTTTGAGGGGCAGATATGGAGGGGGATGCTAATTTTCAAATGGCCATATTCGATACGACGAAAAATAAAAGAAAATGGCCATTTGAAAATTAGCACCCCCTCCATATCTCTCCCTCAAAATCGGACTATTGTCAAAACCACATAAAAATGAAGGTCACTATCGAGATCATTATTAATTATTACGCTGTGCAAAAGCGTAATAATTAATAATGTTTATAAGAACTTTTTTTCTTATTTTGACCCTTAGCCCAGGTAGAACGAAAAATCATAATAATATTGTTGTGTCCGAGCCACAAGGTTTGTGGCAGCGTCCGTTGTCCGTGAGCCTTAGGCATCTGATGCTGATTTTGACAACTGAACGAAGATTGTCTGGATGACGGAAAATCGATAAGAAGAAAACAACAACAGCTGACAGAGAGTCTCCGGCAAACTGTCATCGTAGATAGACTCGAGAATTGTAGATCTGAGAATTATTCTTGTTTAAAGCTTGAGTGAGCTACGCTGTAAATAGCAAAGCTTGTCATTCTTACGCGAGTGTTTTCATTTACCTGAGTGCAAGACAGTGCGAGTGCGAGAGTGAGCGCAACAATATAATTATGATATAAAAAAAAGTCATTTTAAGACAAATCAGGATGATGTCATTCGATATAGTTTTCGTGATGGTTTGGTGATGTTCTTTTGATATTGAAATGATGTTATGGTGACTTTTAGAACTGTACATTAAAATAGAAAGTCACAATAACATCAAAGTGACGTCAAAATGACAAGAAAATGATCTAATCATGATTACAAAGTGAGTTTTTATAGTCTTTTGTTACTCATTTTGTAGTCATTGTGATTTTTTGTTTAAATGATAATATAGCTTATACCCATACATATACAATGTCCGAAAAACATTTTAGAAATATCATATTTCTAAAATTTTTTTGGACGTGTGTATGTATTTGTGTATGTATTTATACATGTATTTGTTTTATGCATAAGAAATATAGGGTACAAAATGTGAATATGAATATGAATGTGAATATTTAGGTATTATTTTGAGATTTTGAGTTTTCTTGGGCGTTATTTTGAGGGTTTTCGTTGAGCGTTAACCCTCATTTGGGTGTAATCTTCAATTGACAATCCGAAATCACACCCAATTTGAGTGTTTTTTCGGTGTATAACACCCAAAATTGAGCGTTTATTCGGTGTATAACACTCAAAGTTGAGCATTTTTATCGGTATTTAACACCCAAAATTAAGCGTTTTTTGAGTGTTAACACCCAAAATTGAGGGTTTTTTTCATAAGGGCTAATATACATATATGTTATATGAACAATTCTTTGTATGAAAATCTACAGTTTACGTTACATATAAGATTCCTGAGGATAATAACATCATCAAACCTCAAAGATTCTTAAAAATATCGCATATGTTATTTTATGAATGTCACTAGAATATTACGATAAACGAAATTCCAAGATTTGGTCACAATGTCATCATCTTTCTTACATATTACTTATATTTATGCTATTGTTAACACAACTGTAACGATATATTCAAGCGATATAAATATTTCAGAAACTAAAGTGATTATTTTAAAGTGTTTATATTTATAATGCAGCATATATATACTTTTGCCATTTTTAAATCATTTTTGTGTTATTTATTGTCAGTGACGTTTAAGTGACAAATAAAGTCATATTGACATTATTATGATATCATTATGACTTCTATGTTCTACCTGGGAGAATACGCCTTTAAAATTTGTAACATATTTTTAGATACACTCTGTATAATGTGTATGTGTGTATGTATGTTTGTGTATGTCTATTAATATGCAATTAAAATTTAAAAAATTCCAATAAGAAAGTATTTTATTTTAAGTCTACTTTAAATTATTTTAAATTTTTATCTATGATTTTAAAACACCGTCTATAATATGATATATGGTTAGGAAATGATAAAATAACCACATCCTGAATTGTTAAAATAATCTCGAACAGAGAGAGATAAAGCATCAGTGTTCAAGTAGAAGTATTAAATAGTTTGCATCATAACAGTTGTGTAACACAATTATTGCATACCAATGTAATAGTGCTAAAGCAATAATATAATAATATAAACCAGACGTTGCCCAGATTAAATATATATATATATATATATATGTGTGTATGTGTGTGTATGTGTACGTACATACAACGATATAAATGGTGTAAAAGTATAATATAAATACGGTCTATAAAATAAAAATATAATCAAGAAACAAGTTTCACTAAAAACACCATGACAACCAAGCTCGCGATTAAGCATAAAAACTCTCTTGTTTTGAAAGAAAACAAGTTGCTTCAAGGAAAGAAATATCACAGCTGCAAGCTGTCCAACTTGAAGAAATGCGAACATCTGTCTTTTTCTTGGTTAACCTTAAGCATATTTCTAGTTTATTGGTTTATTTTGTGTCCTCTAATTTGGGTAACATGTGATATGTCGAAGACATATTGGTTTTCATATTGGCCTGTTCCTTTCTGGACTATCGTATTTCTAATCTGGATCATGATCATGTATGCACATATAATATTTTGGAGGAGACGTTTACAAACTCGACAAGATGCCGAAGTCAATCACATGACTTCAAAACATAGTTCGGAGATTATGGAAAAACTTTCAAGTGTTCATCAGACATCTTCGGAAGAAGCAAATTCTTTCGAAATAAAGATGTATAATCTTTCAGATCAGAAAATAAAAAATGATTCTGATAACCTTCATAGAAAAGATTTACCACTTCTAACGATACATAAACAAATGTTTGATGAGGATATTGATAACATGGGGATAATGCAGATTGAAAAGGATGAAAATGATCAGCTGGACGTTGCCAGTGACTACGTCGGAAAAAGTTCTTTGCAAGATTATTCAAAGCTGGAGAAGGAAGTGAAGTCACCGAAAACCCCGATGTCACCGAGAGAATTGTTTTTCATCGATTTGATTCGAGAAGCAGAAAAAGCTGAAAGCGCAAAATTGGAGAAAATTTATTTTTTTCCGAATGAAACAACCCAACATAATATAAAAAGCGAGGAGGAAATGAAGAATAAGATAGATACCACAAATGAAGAGTATATAGAAAATATTCAAGATGCGAATGAAAAAAATGAGAAGATAAATAAAAATAAATCGAAATGCGAATCAAATTATTTCATAGCAAATGTAGAGAACCCGGAATCAGCGAAAAAAGCGGAGATGTTCCTTCAAATTGATTCGATGTAGAGGAACAGTTAGAAACAAACATAGAAAAACTAATTTTGATATTGCGATTCGATAAAGGAAATGTATAGAAATCATCCATTTTGTCAGTTAATTGAATTATTAATATAATAATTACGATCAAATATTAAAAATATTGATTATGATAATCAAAAAGAGTAAGAATTATGAGAGGAAAAGGGAAAGGCTTCGACAAGAAAAAATTTCTCGAAAAAATATATAAATAAAAAAATCGATACTATTATCAATAAATATGTCTTTTGAATTTTCTATATTTATGTTTTATTCTCCACCTCTTCACATTCTCAATTCATCTCTCTGCAAATATCATGATTATATGTATATAAGATATATTTTGTTTAATTTAGAATGTATACAATATTTAAATAATGTAAGGTTAGGAATTTGAAAGTATTAAGGTTTTAGATAATATTTTATTAAAATCACGCTTCTTTTTCAGATGATTGTTGCTTATTGCCAAATCAAATCATGATTCCGCAATTATATCAAGGTAATAGCATAACTGCTATAGTTTCACCAGTTTTGTTTTATCAGAATCTTCCACTACAGGTAAGAATGGTGCAGAAACTTCGACTATTTCTTTAATTCAATTTTCATCTTAATTATTAAAAATATTCAAAACATTAATGCTATATTCATACATATATGTACGTTATATATAATTTATTACTTTTATAATAATCTGTGATTATAGTTGGAGTATGGAGTGGAACCAGAACAACTACTTTTCACACCCGAAATGAATCCCGTTGAAGGCTGTATGTATAGTGGCCAGATTGTAGATACTATTCGACATTTGTACCTGGGGAAACAGCCACTTTTAGTAAAGCAATGTACGAGGTATTACCATTTTTATGATTACAAGAACAGAAACATGAATTTTTTATTCTATATTTTGATAGTATATGAATATTCTCTCCGTTAAATTTTCAGATGTGGCGGTAAAGCACAAGTACAGAATATGACAAGGACAGCTGCAGTTAGAGCTTGGGATCAAAGATGGACGCGAGCTTGTCGTTGTGGTGGTACTTGGCGAATTCACAAAGCCTGTTAGATAATTATTTGAGAATTATTTGAAACATTATAAAATAAATTTCTCGAACATCTAAGTACGGGCAATGATATATCGGGATGATATATTCTGTCCGTCATGCAAAACTTAAATTAACTGAACTTAAATTAACTATCTGAATTTTTGAGAAATAGTTGATTTATCTTATTACTTTTCTTGTAACATTTGAAATAATTAAGGAGACTTCTTAATTATTGATTATAATTATCTTATTATTACTTTATCATATTTATCTAGCATCATTAATGAAAGTAATACGATCTAGTTTTTGACACGAAACAAAATGAAAAAGAAGTGAAAATAAAAAATATGAAAAATATAGGAACGATGTGCAGGTTAATTCCGTTAGTTAGTAATAAATATTATGAATAAATTTGCACGATATTCAAATAAAATTTTATTACTGATGCATGGTCGTTATACATTAGATCTTGTGAAAAGAAAATAATAAAGAAATTATAAAGGAATGTTAGTATACAAATAAAAATTCCGGTTAAAATAAATCATTTTTATAGGAAATTCTCAGTGGCTTTCTCCTTTTTTGCCAGACACTCTTTTAAATTCTCCCATATTAGTAGTTGAGATCGGTGAACCAATTATGACTAAATGATCGATTCTTGTTATTTCTGAGCCATTCTGATTATCTATCACAAAGATTTGAAGATTTTGCACATTCTGGAACTTAACGTAGCGTAGAGGAATTTGATTCCCTTCTTCAAGATCCTTAGCTGATAACCTGCACCAAAATAATACGTAACTATTTTTCTTATAAATATATTTTAGTATTTTAAATTTAAAGGAATATATTCTACTTTATCATAGTACTAAAAGTTATTGAATAATATATTTACTAATCGATTTTTAACTGTTATCCACATGAAGAAAAAGGTTTTGTATAGAATAACATTTTAAATTAGTCAAATTTATGGGACACTCAATAGAAAATATTTAATGATCTTCAACAAATAAAAAATACTCTTCTATTCTCTCATGAAAGTATTTTGTGTAATTTTGTTTCTTGTGACTCTCGTTTAAGATTGAAATTGTGAACATATGTTTAAAGCTTACGTTAGATCTTGAATACTCGTATTGGAATTCGCCATTTCGAAGTCGATTGTCCTAGGTTGATTAATGAATAGTTTGACATTTTTCGGTCCATTTTCTGCGGGTGCTTTGATTTTGAGCGAATGAATCTTGACAGGTTGGGAGAATGCTATAGACATTATCAACTGCTCGTCCTCATCGCTTTGTAGATATCCGCTATCCGAATTCAAGCACTGAGAAAATGTATGATAATCCGACTCGTTTAAACATTCACATTGTTGTTTTGTTATGAAACAGGATAGGTCCATCTGGAAGAGAACCAAAAAATATTTTCAATAAAATATGTTACATCCAATAAAATAAACAAAATGAATAATCGCCCTGTTTCTTTCTTTTTTCTTTCTTATGCTACAAAAAAGGAACAAAGTAAAATAGTCATCTATAAATACATTAGACAGTTCTGTGTTAAAGTTTTTACATGATCTAAAATATTTGATTATATTTATAATTTTATCATAGCCGAGACGATATATGCTATGTTAAAAATTTTTCTTAAATTATTTATATATATTTTTATTTTTTCTTTGATGTTTAGCCTTATTTTGTTCTTTTTTTGTTATTTCACAAATTTTTTATATTTCCTTCTAAATATATTTATGTACATAAGAATAAATTTGAAAACAGTATTAGTCTTGATCATTTAGTTTAATTTTATGAAAACATAATAAATTGAATTTCATGCAAGTTATGTATATCATATATATATATATATATATATATATATATAATCTCATATTGGATAAAATTTACCTTTTTGCAATTTTTTTGTATATCTTTTTCAGGGAACTCTTAATTTTTATCAATATGAGATAATTAATACTATTACATAATTATGATATAATTAACGTTAACGTACTGTGAACCACTATATGTAAATTACTATGTCCTCATAATACTGATTATTATTTCATAAAATTTTTGCTTGAATATAAAATTGATGGATTTATTTGTGTTATGGATGAAGAATATTTAGATAAAAATTAAGTTACATAAAAGCAAGTGTATATGTCTGTATGCTATAATTATATTATTGGCAATATTTTATACAATCTGTTTATATTTAATATATAAATTAAAATTAATAATAATAATTAGATCACAAAGATTACAAAGTAGACACCTAAGTATCAAATTATGTAACTGTTGATACTTTATAATTTATATAATCAAAAAAACTGCAATAGTTCTAACTTTATGAAAATATGAAAAATCATTATAAATTAATGTTTACAGCAGTAATTTGGTTGTTAAGTCATCTAAGTTAACCTTTACAAGTATAACCTGAATTGCTGTTATACTATTTTATATTTTGTCAGTACTTTTTTATATCAAAATACTTATCATCAACCATAACAAATAAATAAAATTAGAGATATGAGATATTCAACAAAATAATTGTAAATCCATTTGCTATAATTTTTTTTACAAAAATATTAATGTTGTTAAGTGCAAATTTCAAATTAAATATATTTATAAAAATCTAATCAATATCTGTTTCCTCTATCATAATTTTTATTGATGATATACAAATGTATATAAAATTTATATATAAATTATACAGGGTGTATAAAAAGTACCGGGATGATGAAATATATATCACAAAAACTAAGCATTTTAGAAAAGTGTTTTAAATAAAAATCGTAAAATTTCAAAATATCTATTTGACCTTATGAATTTGATCTTTGGTGGCGTCACCAAGGTTAGGACAAGGTCATCTTGAATTTTTTAAACGGGACTCCCTATTTTTTATTGCATATTCTTGTAGCCCTTCTTTAGACCTTTTCAAAGCATTATAATTTTTTCCACTTTGAATAAGCCGTTTCGAAATTATCGAGCTTTTTATGATAAGCCGTCCAGCCAGCGGCTAGAGCAATTTCGTGACTTGTATTTCAGACACATGTAATATTAAAAAGTAATACTAAGGTACTAAATTTATAACAGCACTAAAATTCACCTTCGAATCACTACAAATCAATTGCAATGAATTTGACTAGAAGTAGAACATGTTACTTGTCACGCGTTATTTCATACGGAAAAGTTAAATGATTTTTCTTACTGATTTTTCTTTCTTTAATTGAATTATCGGTTTTGTTATCTAATTAATACAAATTTCTGTTTATTAGATAAATATTTTTTCCTAGATTATTCGTTAGACTTTACTTTCTCTTTTAGAGATTAACATTATTCTCAAACGCTTTTATAAAGATCTTGCCTTGGCTGGCTGGATACTTCTTTGATCTTGTTTTAGTTGGCTCGACATCTTATCATAAAAAGTTCGACTTCGTAACTTCTAAACGGCTTATTCAAAGTGGAAAAAATTATAATACTTTGAAAAGGTATGAAGAAGGGTTAACATAATATGCAATAAAAAATAGAGGGTCCCATTTAAAAAATTCAAAGTGACCTTGTCCTGACCTTGGCGACACCACCCAAGGTCAAACTCATAAGGTCAGTAACTAGATCTTTTGAAACCCCTATAATTTTTATTTGAAACAATGTTTTCTAAAATGCTTAGTTTTTGTGATATTTCTCCGTCTCGGTACCTTTTATATACCATGCATATACAGGGTGTCTCGTAAATCAAGATCAATCATTCAGGAGATGAATGGGAACCCAAAAAGAAGAAAGAAAGTTATGATATGATAGGTCCGGAAATGCAACTTTTATTTGACTTTAATTATGTTATAAAACTTATAAAAACCACCTCCAATTTTAACAAAAAAAAATTCGAAAGTAAAGCAATTTTAAATTTCAACGTAAGAATGGCGATAGTTCGAGAACGATGCATATCCGGATTTATGTCCATATTAATTTTATTTCTTGTTTTTGGGTCCTCTATATAAAATGTATTTAAAAGTATTGTTTCGCATTCACGAGATTTCGTCGTGAATTCTGCTTTGCAGAAATCTCGGATTGGATCGCGCGCTAATACTTTTCAATGCTATGGGGAATAGAACGTGAAAATCTTGTATGCTTCTGAATCCGAAAACAATTAGGAGAAGAAGTGAATACTTTTCAATGTGGAAGTTCGCATTTGAAAATGATCGATTGCAATTGAATGAAAGGCATACTTGAAATGAATTGAATCCTTTTTAATGCGAAGCATTCACCACTGCCGCCTCGCATTTAGCGCAGTGAAATTTAATGAGAACTAATATTTTTCAATCCCTTTCTTCGGATTAGAAAGCAGAATTCAGACTTGTTCAAAATGTCAATATCTTTTAATATGTTTTAATTCGACATTTATACAGGGTCCCCACTCATCTCTTGAGAGATTAACCTTGACTTATAGGATATTCTATACATTTCTTGAAAAAAAATTTATATATAAGCAAGAATTATTGACATGACAAAAGATCAATCAAAAGACAAATTTATATATTATACGTTAAGTAATTTTGACACAAAGAAAATTTCAAAGGAAAATATAAGTAAATATTAAAATTCTACAGTTGATTAAGAAAAAAGCCAAAACCCAGCAATTATATGTGGAAAGAGGATGTATAATGAAATTTATGGAAATTAAGGAAGTTTGAAACAAGTTTGTATACCTGAATTAATTGCTACAAAAGACTTAAGATTTTATCTATAATTGCTTAATATCATACAGAAATTAATAGCAAGCTTTTTATATATTTTGGTGCTTATTCCAATAATAAAGAATTATAGCAAGAAAGATCATTCCAAAAATATGATAATAGAGGTTATTGAAGCCTCCTACATGTCCTGATGCAGAATCTCCAATTGAATCATCAGTTTCATTGGAGTCGCCACAACCATAGAATTGTTGAATTTTTGATTCCAGCCCTGTTGGATCTGCACCCTGACATTGTCCCAACTTTGCACGTTTACGGTAAAAAATAAATGTGGGCATTGCATGTACATCCTGCATCGCAGCAGTTTCTCTGCATTTATCCACATCTACCTTCAAAAATATTGCCTTGGGATATTTCAATGACAGTTGTTCAAAAATTGGAGCAATTCTTTGAC